TTTGTAACAATATAAGAGGTTTCAGTCTTGCTACCTTGCTGTACACTCTCTGAGCATGTAACCGACGCCTAGCAATTTTCACAGACACATTCTTACGTGTGAAATTGTTCCACTGTGTTGTCAACTGACAAGCAGTGTCGAACTTTGACAACTTGGACATCAAAATCAGTCGTCGGTCTTCACGGCCAGTAGTTTTTCTTGGACGACCCATCAGAGGCAATTTGTCTCTTGATCCAGTGTTTCTATACCGAGACCAGACCCTCTGCACGGTTCTGACTGAACAATACAATTGTATCGATATTCTGACATTGCTTATATTCCCCCTCTTCAGGTTAATAACTTGACACCTATAACAGTTAGATAATTGCCTGTACCTTGTCAGGAGGAAGACAGGAATAACATTCGTTGTACATGTACAAGACCAACAATACAATTCCATGGTATAGCGGTTTTATACTCATTAGTCGCATTATAAGTAGACCAGGCATTATAACTACCCAAGATCTGCCTACTTTTATTACTCTGAGTTAGGGGGTGACACTTCTTTTGTCCAGTGTGTGTATGTCTTCAACAACAAAATTGTATGTTCTCAATGGGGCAAGTCGAAATTTCTTTACAAAATGAACGACATTTTATCAAAATCAAATGGACAAGGTACTTGGTTTTTTCAATGAAAAATCACAGACAATTGTGAATTTTACACATACTGTATGTTTTAATTCATATTTTTTTAATTGTAATTTCTCATTGAGTGGTACAACAAAACTAAGAGTGCTTTACAGTTTTATTCTTTATAATAAAGACACAAATCCTACATGGAAATATATTTTTGAACTGAACTTTGGAAATTTTCTATCCCTTATATCTCGAAAACTGGCAGAGATACGCCCATAGTTACTATTGAACTTGTATAGGAGGTCATATTCTGGCAATCTAACTGAGACCTTGAAGTTGACCTTTGACCTACTTTTCACCATGATCTGAACTTCTCAATTCTTCAACGAATGCAATGATTTGTCAAGGGTAGAGTTACATGTACACACTATCCATAGAACCTTCTTAATTGTCGGAGTAAAACGAACATTTTATTATTACAGGTATTTAAAGCAATAATAACTCTTCCTTTGAGATTCAAAATTCCGCATGAAATACATTGTAAACAACGTATGGAAATATATTCTATTGTATTTTACCACTAAAACGGTCGTTATTGTAGTAAAACTAAAACCTGTGCTTGTCAATAGGGCTTTCGATGCCTTTCTTCCCGGTCGTTAAGGCATCCGTTACCAATGACGTTTGGGTGTCACGCGGATTCTCGCGTTCATTCGATACCAAAATAATTTGCGACTTCTGGCAACAGGTGGTGAAGAATGGTGTTTGATCCATGTAGGCCACCTCCAATTTATAGATGTTTTCCAAGCATTTGGCTACCATTTGCGCTTCTGTCGAATTTGGTCAACTTTTGCGTTAAAACCTACATGAGTAAATATTTTAGAAATTTTATAATAATTGTATTTAATGGCAATAAAATTTATTTTTAAAAAACCACGCATTGTATTATTTTGTATTATCAGTAGTATTACTTTCACCCTTCTTCAAAATACATAAATGAATAAAATTAAAAGGAATGATAAAAATCTTTTACTTAATTTTTTATCTATTTTTTATTTTTATTTATTTATTATT